CTGAATTACCTCAACCGAGTGGGGCTAATCTTGAGGGAGAGGTCCAGGAGAGCGATGCCGATTCCTAGAATTATATCTTGAGGCTGTCACCTTTTATTTTTCGAAGCTTTGCTTTTGCTTTTTCTTTTTATCATTCTCGACCTATTTTCAGATTCTAAAGGTCAAGACGATTCTCTCTTGCAATAAACTTATCATGAATATTATCTTTTGTTTTCGTTGTTTTTCTTTTGTTCTTGAATTGCCATAGATGTTTAGCAATTGAGGCGGGATTTCTTCATTTTGGAGATCTTGAGTGTATTTTTATTGTTTAAATTGATTTCGTAATCGTAGGCTCCGTAGCCTTGTCGAGCTTCCACTCGAGTTACAACCTCGTAGTTGTTTAAATCGGCTTCGTAGTCGTAGGCTTTGTAGCCTTGTCGAGGTTCCACTCGAGTTACAACTTCGTAGTTGTTTGAATCGACTTCGTAGTCGTAGCCTTCGTAGCCTTGTCGAGGTTCCACTCGAGTTACAACTTCGTAGTTGTTTAAATCGACTTCGTAGTCGTAGGCTTCGTAGCCTTGTCGAGGTTCCACCCGAGTTACAACTTCGTAGTTTTTTAAATCGACTTCATAGTCGTAGGCTTCGTAGCCTTGTCGAGGTTCCACTCGAGTTACAACTTCGTAGTTGTTTTGAGAAACTCGGTATTTCAGCAGTTATAAAGAGTTCGATATGAAAATGCAGAAAGGACACAATTGAAGCATAAACTTGAAATTCATTTCATTACTGAATTTGATTCAAATATTGCTCAATACAAAAGAGTAAAATGTTGCCTTCTAAGCATAAAAGCGTTTGAGATGGATCACATGCCAAGATCGCGGCAGTTGTCGACCCTCTCCATCCTCGAGTTCGTATGCACCCCTCTCGAGCACCTTTGTGACGGTGTATGGCCCCTCCTAGTTGGCTTCGAGCTTTCCGACATGCTTCAAGGCGTCTGCTCACTTGAGAACGAGATCTCCCACTTGGAATCGCCTGGTTCGGACTTTCTTGTCGAAAGCTGCACACATCTTTTGGTTATATTCAACATATCATAGCCAAGCCTCTTCTCGCCCTTCTTTAATCAAATCGAGGGCTTCTTTGGTCATTTCCTTGTCCTTTTCTGGTTCAAAGTATGTCGACCTGTGTGAGCTTAGTGCGATTTCCACTGGTAGGAGTGCATCCATCCCATATACCATACTGAATGGTGATTGGCCTGTCGAGCTTCTCGGCGTAGTTATGTATGCCCATAGAACAATGGTTAGCTCGTCGATCCATGATCCCGACGCTTTCTCCAATCGCTTCTTTAGCCCCTACAAGATGGTTCTATTCGTGATCTCGACTTGCCCGTTAGCCTGGGGGTGAGCGACCGAGGCAAATCTCTGTTTGATTCTCATATCGAGGCACCATGCTTGGATTCGCTTCCCCTGGAATTGTGTTCCATTATCAGAGATGAATACCTTCGGAATCCCGAATCTACAGCAGATACTGCTGAACAGAAATTGTATCATCTTCTTCTCGGTGATTTTTGCTAGGGGCTCCACCTCCACCCATTTGCTAAAATAGTCGACTGCAACTACGAAGAATTTTCTTTGCCCTGTTCCCATGGGTAGTGGACCTACTAGGTCGATTCCCCATTGAGCAAAAGGGATCGGGCAGTTGATCGTCGTCATGGCTCAGCAGGGATATGAGGAATCGGGCCATGACGCTGGCATCTCTCGCATCCTCGCACTAACTGCTCAGCCATTTTCCTGATTTTTGGCCAATAATAGCCAGCCCACAGAATTTTTCCAGCCAAAGCCCGAGATCCGACGTGAGCTCCACAACATCCTTCGTGAACTTCTCGCAAGACATTATTTCCCCCATCTTCTGAAATGCATCTTAAATGGGGCCCGACATACGACTTCTTGTATATCACCCCCTCAACTTCGAAATATTTACTCAAGTACCGAGCGGCTTTTTCGGCTCCCTGCTTATCTCCTGCAGGTACTTGCCCCTGCAAGAGCTCGCAAATCGACTTTCTCCAGTCGCCCTTCTCCTCAACCTCCATTGTTTCGCCCAGGACACTTCCTTCCAAATGCATGGTGGTAATATGGTTTCCCATCTTTCCCTCATTCGAACTTGCTATTTTGGTGAGCCAGTCGGCTCGTTTGTTTTCCTCTCGAGGGACTTGGGTCAGTTCGAACTTTTCTAAGCCCCGTACTAGGATTTGAACTTCCTCAACATACTTTTGCATTCTGCCCTCTTTTATTTCACAGTTCCCCATTACTTGGCCCACGACAAGTTGTGAGTCAGAATGTGCGGCGATTTCTGTTGCTCCTCCCCCAATTGTAAGTTGAAATCCTTTGATTAATGCCTCATACTCTGCTTCGTTGTTCGAGGCTTTGAAACACATTCTGATGGGGAAGTCGAGTTGCTCGCCTTCGGGAGATATGAGGACAACTCCTAAGCCAGACCCCTTGGCCGTCGAGGATCCATCGACATGCATTATCCATTTCTTCTCTTCTCCCTTAGTTCCTTCTTGGATAAAATCTGCTAAAGCTTGGGCTTTTATGGCTCGTCTTGGTTCATACTTGATGGAGTATTCACTTAGCTCGACCGCCCACTTCACGAGTCGACCCGAAATAGTTGGTCGACCCAAGGTCTCTCCGAGCTGGAAGTTTGTCCTCACTACTCACATGATTCAAGAAATATGGCCTCAACATCCTGGCCGTTATTACTAACGTCAAAGAAGCTTTTTCAACTTCGGAATATCTTACCTCTGCGCCCTGAAGTACCCGACTTGTGTAATAAATCGGCTGATGGGCTCCTCCTGCTTCTCGCAATAACACTGAGCTCAAGGAAAATATTCCCACCGAGATATAAAGCATCAGCTCGTCGCCGGGTTCTGGTTTTGTTAATAGTGGTAACTCACTTAGAAATTCTTACAGTTTTTCGAATGCCATTTGCGCCACGTCATTCTATTGAAAAGCTTTCTTCTTAAGTAACTTGAAGAATGGGAAACTTCTCTCCGCCGCTCGAGCGATGAATCTTCTCAGGCCGGCAATTCGACCTGTCAGGACTTGCACTTCTCTGATGCTCTTTGGTGGGGCCATGTTTAGTATGGCCTTCACCTTATCCTTGTTCACTTAAATGCCTCTTTCAGTCACGACATAACCAAGGAATCATCCTGCCTTCACTCTGAAGGCGCATTTACTCCGATTCAGCTATGCCCAAATGTCCTCAGCATCTCGAATGTTTCTTTTAGATCCTCGACATGTGAAGTCGAGGACCTATTTTTCACCAAAATGTCGTCCAAATACACTTCCATATTACGCCCGATCTGCGGTTTGAACATTCGGTCCATCAGCCTTTGGTATATTGCCCCCGCATTCTTTAGCCCGAAGGGCATGACGACGTAACAGTATGTCCCTTTACTTGTCACGAAGCTAACTTTGCTTTGGTCCTCGGGGGCCAGCGGGATTTGGTGATACCCCTGAGATGCGTCCATCATACTTAGCAGCTCGCAACCTGCCGTGGAGTCGACTAGCTGATCAATTCTCGGCAAATGATAGTGATCCTTTGGGCATGCCAGGTTTAAGTCACGAAAATTAATGCACATGCGCCACTTATTCAATGCTTTCCTCACCATCACTGTGTTGGATATCCATTTGGGGAATTGGATTTCTTTGATATGCTTGGCTTTGAGCAACTTATCCACCTCGACCTTGATTGCTTTATCGATCTCAGCTCCATGATGCCTAAGTCACAGCTTGACGGGCTTTTTGAGGGGATCGACATTGAGTTTGTGCTCCATGACCCTCGGGTCAATTCCCGTTAACTCTTCAGGAGTGAAAGCGAATATGTCTCTAAATTCTTTCAACAATTCCACCAACTGTTTTCTCAACTCATCTCCCCAGTTCTCCCCCGACCTTGGTGGTTTGGTCCTCTCTTTCCCCGATCTGGATTTCCATCAATTCTCCATGCGGCTCGAGGTCGCTTTCCCCTCGGCCTTTTTTCATTCGACATTGGCTTCTTTCCTTCCCTTACCTCCGCTCGCTGGTTTTCCCTCACTGCTATTTGATAACATGTCCTCGATAGCTTCTGATCCCCTTGGGCCTCCCCTACTCTATCCCCAATGGGGAACTTTAGCTTCATATGGTAGGTCGACACCACTGCTTGGAATGCATGAGCGCCGGCCTGCCCAGAATCACATTATAAGCTGACTCGATGTCGACTACAATGAATCGCACCATCTGTACTTTCCTCAAGTCGCCTTCCCCTAGGACGACAGCGAGCGTAGTTTCTCCTAGGGGTGCGACTTCCGATCCATTGAAACCAAAGAGTGATGTATGCAGAGGCGCAAGCTCGATGTCGAGCTCCATCCGTTTGAGACAGTCATAAAAGATCACATTCACCGAACTCCCTATGTCGACAAAGATTCTGTAACGCCCCATTTTATTTTAAAGAATTTACAGAACAAATTCACAAAAATCTTAGTTTTTTTTTTAAACAATTCCAAAATTTAAAACTCAACGGGGGCTACCTAACTACCAACAGCAATTAAACCAACATACAACAAATCAGATAGAACCTACACATGCGTTACTAATCAAACCCAAACAAGCATTTCATAAGTTCCAAATTAACCAATAAGTAAAAGCATAATCCCAAGGTTCAAATCCGACGGTAGCATACTTATTCAGTTCAAAGCAGGAAAAATAAAAACTAAGTCAATAAGCAGTTCAACAATTCATAACAGGCGGAAGCATAAGAATAACACAATCGACCATTGAACACCATCTCGCTCGTCTTTACGCCACCGCCTCTAGCTCATCTCAACCTAAAGAAGGAAGAGAGGAACAACAACAAGAAACAAACAACGGGGGTGAGCATAGCCAACAAGCTCACCATTATTGCACAGTTATCCAGTATAAAACATTTTAAAACATCTACACAGTATGCATAGAATCCAAGGTCTAAACTCCCTACTCAGCCCTATCGCAAACCTCCTATGTACATACAACAACCTTCCGGATACAACAGCATGGAAGTAACTGAAACCTTCCTACCCCGGGTACAACGGTTCGTAGGATCCTTTCCAGGAGACAGTGGAGATGTTTTTCCCTTTCCCGGTACAACGGCTTGGGGCGTCTCCTCCTGAATACAACGGGCAGGTGACCTCCCACTGTTTTCGCATTCATCAAAGGCACTATTGTACGGGACACCTAGACTAGGGTTCTCACGCATACAACCATTTTCAAACGAAGCATTACACGAATAAAGAGTGCAATAATTATGGAATACATCACAAATGTACCCACCTGTTCGCAGCGACAAAACACAATCACGATTCTCGAAGGCGGGGTGAGGTCAACACCTCTAGACACCTACATAAGTCCAGATACTAAAGTTAACGCTTTATCTAGACCTAAGTAGAAAATTACAAATTTGACTTAGCCGAACTTGATTCGACTAAGTGGTTCGTGAAGTCTTGTGGATATTGGAACTCGAGACAAGCCACAAGGAAACACATAACATGCTGATTACCAAATTCTTAACCAAAACTTCTATCTCAAAGCAATTTCCAAGATTTACACATTTTTAAGAAGGTCCATCAAACCAACGAGTTGGGTTCTGAAAGTTCAACACAAAATTCACCTCCTAATACTTAGAAAAACCACCAAGTTTCAGCCACAAATTAATTATACACAATTTTATAAAATTCAAATATAATATCAGCAAAAATAAGCATAAAATTCAAAGCCTAACCTAACGAATGAATTAGCACATGAGATTTTTACTGGAGCAAGATCAGTAGTTAAAGACCAACATATAAAAATTTTAGTTTCAAACAATAAACACACGAATTTTAAAAATTCCTACAAGTTTCTGTAGTTTATCGAATTTCAATTAAAACTGAACCATTTTGAACTCTAAAAATTCCAATCTTCTCATATCATGATATTACACATAAAACAAGCATCTTAGACAAAAATAAGAATTTTTCAATAACTAAAAGATTTATCATAAATAAAACAATTTTCTGCAGAATCTGAAAATAATGCATTTACCCTATGAAACTTATTCTAAAAATTCTAAAAATTTTACATAGTATAAAATCATGACAGTGTCATAACATATTCCAATTTTAGCAAAATCGGAGCACAGACTAATTTAATATGCATTTAACATATTTCTGTCTAGAAATCACATTAATCACTTAAAATAGCTACAGACTATGAAAAATTATGAAATTTTTACACAAGCTATACAATAAACGGTGGGTCACTCAGCTCAAATTTCATGCCAATCGGACAATCATGCGATTTATAGTGAATTTTACACATAAAACAACAATTAAGGACTTCAAAAATTCATATCTGCCGATTTACTAATCGAAACGACAGAAGGTCAAAACCGTTGTTCCCATGATGATCCTAAGTTCCTAAATCCACAGCAACTTCACACTTTCAACGAGTTCTCGTTTGATTCACACGAACCGACGAAATCCACATAAAATCATAACAATATATAATATCAATAATATATTTATATTCTCAAAACACAACACATGAACAAACGAGAGGAAAAACGAGTACCGTTACCGTTCTCGGGATTAACACCAGATTAGGAATGAGCCGAAGATCGAGATGGGCTGCTCGGAGGGGCTCGACAACTCCGTTTGGCTCGCCGACGGGACCCGAGAATCGGGACTGCAAGCAGAGGCGGAGCTAGGATTTTAGAACACCTGGGGCTAATGAAATTGCGATATTCGATTCTTTTTAGATTAAAACTCGACGATTATAGTATCATTACTAATATTTTCGACCAACTCCTTTTCAATGTAAATAATCATGAAATCCGTAAAAAAACTCCTCTTCCATCTTATTCCAAATAACTGTCTTGACAAGTTTCATAAACGAAAGCGATTGCTCTGTAGTCGTCGTAGACAACGTGAGAGTCAAAACAAGACGAATTGATAGTGTATGTAACAACAAATTTTATATTTATTTTCTTCGTTCATTGACCCTCCATTATAATTTAAACCGATAAGTTAACAAAAATTGTAAAGTAATCAAGATATAAGCAAACTAAAACATTTATATAAAAAAAAAGGTAATCAAGAATGCATTGTGGGTTTTTGTACACAATCATATTATGATTTTTACTATTTAAAAGGATCGAGTAGATGATGGTCAAGCATCCACACCTTTAGTATTTTTGTACACAATCATATTATGGTTTAGTCTCAATAGTTTTTAAGGAAAGCCCAATTCACACCTTAAAATGGTTTTCACTATTTCTACCATTCTTTAAATTAGTAGAAATGGGCATTCTCATTCAACAAAGATAATGGCAGCTTTGGCAGGAAGAATAACAAGGTAGCTGAGACATCTTACTACTCACCAAAATCAGTAAAAATCAGTAAATAAACCCCTAAATCAATAAATTCATCAAACACATTCAAATTAATGGATATCCAAGAAAATAGAAGGAAGCTGTGCTCGGTTCGCTTGATTGGGATTGGCAGCGCGGTGGGATTTTTCTTTCTTTCTTTTTTTTTTTCTTTTTATTTTTTTTTCTTTCGACCATTTTAATGGTGAAGAAGACGATGGATTGAGAATTGGGATAGAAAGAAAAGAAAGATAATGGATTTTAATATTTTGGACTTTCATTGTTGGCCTACCTTAAAAATATTTTGGTCTTATGTTATCGGGCAAATTCAAACAAATAGGCTAACATAATAATACATGGGGCTATCTACATAAATGGTCCAAAATGTGAATTAATTTTTTTTTTTTAAAACTTACCTGGGGCTGGAGCCCACCCTAGCCCATGGGTGGCTCCGCCTCTGACTGCAAGTAAGGGCGCGATTGTGAATGTGGGACTCGCGAAAAGCTTCCTGCGGTGGCCTGAGGACAGCGATGCGAGTGAGCAGCAGGTACACGATGGTCTCCGGAGGTCTGGCTGTTCGCGGGGCTCGTGAACGATGACGGGCTGTACGGGATTTGTGATGGTGATGATCGGAGGTGATGATCAGCTGGTTCACGCCAGAAAGTTGCAAGGAAGGGCCACCGGAAGTTGTAGGTTTTCCCTCGTTTATGCTCTGTTTTTCGATTTTTTTTTTTTAAATCAGCGA